ATTCCAATAGACAATATGCAAAGCTTTTTTTTCAGTTTACAGCAGTATTTATTACACAAAATTTAAGTAAAGCTTAACATGCCGATCTTGCCCCGATCTCCCCTAAGCTGCTAAAGAATTTCATGAAACTTGTACCATAATCAAAATCATTAAATGATAAAAATTTAATTATTTCATACTCTGCATGAATCGGATAATTAATTTTGTTAAATTTTTAAAATCAATTCTATGAAAATTTTAGAGTCAACTATATGTAATTTTTAGAAAACAATAAAAATTCAAATATTTTTTGCAAACTTTTGAATGGTTTAATTCTTGTCATCCCCTGAATAAAATATAATATAATGTAACCTCAGTAGAATAAATATGAGGTAATGCATAAGTAGATATATTTGTTATATATTTTGTTATATTTTTTACATTGTTGTTTAAACATCAAATTTATCAGTAAGAGCTCCATTATTTTAGTGGCACAAAATGATCCAGTGTCAAGTTCTGTGAGATATTTTATTGAAGCATAACCTTATTGATTTGGATAAAGGCTAATACAACAGCTTCCTTCAATTATTTGATTTTCTATCATTGTTGATGTATGACACACTCCTTAGTAGAAACACACTTTGTCTTGTCAAGAATGTCCTCAAATTGCCTTGTCACAATACAAGACAATTTGAGGACATTCTTGAGCCTAAACACTTGCAATGAGCCATTTTTTAAACTATAGGAGCTTGTGTCAACCATCTGAAATGAATGATAAAATATAAATTTGTAGCTTCAAATAAACTTATCAGGGTAATAAACTTTCAACCATCCTGATTATGTTAATAAAAAAATTATAAATTTCAAATTGTTTTTTATAGAAATTATTTAAATGGAAAATTTTGTTAAATTGAATTTTTTGAAGCATTATTACATACTTATAAGAAAGCAATGATTAATTTTTGAAATTTTACAGATATTTTGATTGGAGCATATGATACAGCTAATGCATTACTTTTAAGGTATGCATTTTCTTTTCATTGAAAACCACTTTCAAATTATTTCATTTTTAACTTAATGGATTTTATATACTTTAATTTTTATCTATTTAGATCTCATCCTGTTATATCTGTGTATGCAAGAATGGAATTTGACATCCAGCATATTTTAATAAATTCTACTGCAACTAAATGTAAAACTAATCAAAAAGAAGTATCTTGTTTTCAACTTAAATATTGCCTTATGTATGAAGGAAACCATGCTCCTGAATTAGTTAGTAAGTAAAAATGGATATCTTCTTTAAAAATTAATCTTTATTTTATAAAATAATAATTATAAAATTGTTTCTGAAGCAATGAAAATAGAATTGGAAGTTGATAAATATAAAACCTATGTTCCAAGAGCCTATTTTATGGAAGACAAAAATGTTCAAAAAATAGAATCTGAGATAACACTTCTGGAAAATACAGAAAATTGCAAAATGCAAATGGTATATCTTATGGTAAGTAAAATGCTATCATCTTAATTGTTAGAATACAATGAAGTTGTTAGTGAATGTAATGTCTATGTGCAGGTCGTATTTTGTCCTGACAACTTTTCAACAAATTTTCTATTATGTAATAAAAGGTTGGTGGCACTTGTTACAACCCCTTAGTCATGGGGATCTTTTTATTCTCCCTTTTTTCTAGCACTGTCCTCCTATTAGACAAAGTTGTGTCTAATGTTTTGTGTAATCTTTGTTCTTTCCTCATGTAACCAGTTATATCACAATCTCCTATATGCTTAACAAGTTAACATTAATATCATATGTAAAGTTTTATTTTCTCTTGGTATAATTAAAAATCACTATATAATCCAGGATTTTTTGATTGTTTGGCCATAACTAGGAACAGGTGTATAAGGCACTAACCTGGACCACAGCAGATGTAAGAGTCACAATAAAGTTAATTTAATAAAAATAAAAAAAAGCTGCAAATTTTTACTATATAAATATTACAGTGATAAATATCAGGATGATATAAAGTTTACTTGAAGCTGGGTGCAAGAAATCAGAGTTCCCTTACTCTACTATCTTTAAAAGGAGCTCTGGAAGAGCTTAGCACCTCAGGTTCAGAGTTGTCAACAGGGGGAGCTGAAAAGTTTTTCCTATGCCAGAAGAAAACTTAAGGGCCCATAATGGTTCTTTTCCCTATAAAATAACCACACATGGTAAACAGTGTTTTGCTAGAATTAAAAAATTGAAGAGATTTAAGAATTTGTCTTTTATTTGTTTATAAGGCTGGTGATCCTGTACCTTGGAAACCAAAGGTTCTCCTAATGGTAAAACTGTCCTTGCTTCTCTTCAGTGCTTAATGCCAGATTTCCAACAAGGCACAAGTCTAAGGGTCTTGAGTCTCAGACTCTCCAAAATTAGAGAAAAATTAAGCAATTTTACCAATACAATTTTATATCGTAATTTATAAATAATTATTTAGCTAAAGATAGACATAATTAGTTTATGACGATGTAAAATTACAATATTTAGACTGTTAAACTTCTGTGCCTATGAGCTCTTGAAATCTTAATCCACCTACTATTGCTACCCCTTATCAAGCATCTGTGGCACATGCCCTGCCTGCTTACTAGTTGCATCCATTTAGAAAGCCAAATGGTTTTCAAAACTTGTACAAAATTAATATTATAGTACAGAATAATATTTCTGAATAAAACTGAAGACAGCAAAAACTATAAATGTAAAGAGTGTTTCATATTTATCAAATACAATTTATTCATCTAAAAATAATCTATATAATTTGTTATATATAAGTTTGTTTATTTGTTAAATTATGGTAATGCAACACTTGGGCGATCTGCCTAGGGGATGCCTTCCGGGGGGGTCTTTTTAAGGGTAACTGGTCCCTATTCAGGCATTACAGAAAATCTAGTAAACTCCACATGGCTCGTCCTGGTGAGGCGCGAACCCACAACTGAACTCCCAGTGTTCAGGGAATGGAACTGCTTGGCCACTGATGGGCTGTTATATATAAGAATATATTATTGGTGATAGGTTTAATGATTAAAAAAATAAATATAATTTTATTATTTACTGTTTTTTAGTTTAATGTTTTATTTAAATTTTAAAATAAATTTTTATTTGATAGGATGATATTCAAGATTTAATTACTCCAATAAAATTTCAACTGACATATAATTTAAAGGAACCAGAGGTTCCACAGTTTTGCAAAAGCTGTCCCGTCATTGATGCAACTGCAACTAATACTATTACTAAAGAGGTAGATTTTCAATTCTATAGGAAAATTTTATATATTAAATGTAATAAATAAATACACTATCAAAAACTAAATATATATCTTGTCCTGTATTTTTTTAATATTTTACTTTATAAAAACTAAAATATTATTATTATTTATTTAATAGGTTATGTTCTGGAATGGTTGTGGGGATGATAATGAATGTTTGAGTGATTTAAAGCTTTCTGTAAAATATTTGAGGTTTGTATAAAGTCGATATAATATGCAGGTTGATTCGCTCAGGACTGAACACTTATTATGTGAAATATCTCTATATAAAATGAATAGATGACAATGAAACACAGAATGGGTTTTTTATTTCATTACAAAGAAGTCAACCAAGATAAACTTTATATTACATGTTATTCAAATGTGGTTATGCAATCATGAGATATTGAACAAAATGTTCAGTCCCAATTGAATCACACTGTATTATTTGTATTATATTCAAAATAAATTTTTTAAATTTACTTTTTAGTAAAGTTGAACGATTTGTAATTGGAGAAAATAATATTTTGGAGATGGAAGTAAAGGCAGAAAACTTGGGTGAACCAGCATATAATTCTACGATATTTATAAAATTACCTGAAGATGTTATGATGATCAATCAAGCAGAATGTACAAGTACTTCAGAAGATCAGAATGCAGAAAATTATACTTTATTATGCAATGTTGGGAATCCTCTCACTTCTGATAGTCCAGTATTTATTCTTTATCAATAAATTTATATAATATTTTTATATATAAAAGAATAAAATATTTATTATCTTTATTTTTTAATTAGAATATCTTTCAATTGAAAATGGATACTTCTAGACTTTCAAAACCAGTTGATAAATTGGTTTTTGAATTTTGGATAGAAACTGCAAGTAAAGAAATTAATCCTTCTGATAACTTCTATACTGTTACAATACCAGTGATATTTGCAGCTGATATTCAAATTAGAGGGTAAGATTTTATTTCCTAAGAATTGAACTCAATTAAAATTATTTGCAGTACAACCTCTATATAACATTTTCTCAGAGACCAGTAGATTTCAGTTTAAAATAGAAACAAACTTAAAATAGATATTTTGGGAAAAGCATGATTAAAAAACTCAATTGTGATGAATGAAATTAATATTTACACCAGAATTTGCCACCTTTCCAAAATTGCTGAATCGGACATTTTAAAATTAGGATGTTATACTTAGAAATGAAAAAAATTAGGTTTTTTTATT